TCCTCAAAAACTCCATGTTGATGTAAAAGTTAGCCACAGTTACTAAAGGACCATGTCAAGGAATGCTGGTTTGCATGTGCTTTTGGAGTGAACTAGTTTGGTGTGTCTGTGTGTTTAAAGGATAAATAATTTGTGTATATATAAGTATATATATACACATACGTACATATATGAATACATACATTTAAGACAATGTCTCACTACGTAGACTTGGCTGGCCTGGAACTCACTGTGTACACCAGATGGACTTCAAGAGATCTGCCAGCCTCTGCCTCCCCTATGCTAGGATTAGAGGCATGCTCCCCCATGCCCAGCCTTACTTTTCTTCTCAACATTTAGTTTCTTTAAAACTCACTACTTTCTTAAAGTCACTCTGGCTGGGAACAGAGAAGCCACAATAAGGATATGGCCCTGTGCTAAGGCTATCATGCCCTGAGAAAGTACACTGAGAAAGCACTTGAGGGCCTTTCCCCCCCACAGCTGTGACTACAACAATGTAAATGCTAAGCAAATATAAAACAAATGTATGGTGTGCGTACACAATTTAAGCGGCATCCCCCAGACTCGTGATGGCCTACAGAGCAGTACCTGCGCTTCCCTGGGTTCAGTTCTGCAGCTGTTAGCAGAGGCTGTCATCTGTAATGACAGTGGACTGGCCTTTGCTCTTCTTTTATTCACTATTCATTTCCAAAGCTCGGTTAAGTACGGAGCTGGGTTAAAGATCAGTGGTTTTTCATGTGACACACGCTGGTATTCATCTAATGGCTTGTCAAGACAAAACTGTCCCTGTTCTTGCCAAAATAATAAAAATGACGCTCCACATCGCATGACAATCAGCACTTCCTCATGGCAAAACAACTCAAGCTTTTTGTAACTCATTTATTTTATAGGAAAAAAATGTTAACTGGCTCTCCAGTCTCAATGTAGGGAACCAGGCTATGGTTCTCAAAGGGAGCCTTAACGTTTTTGCTCTCAGAACTCGAAGCAGTATGTAAGCTGGGCACTAATCAAATGCAACTTTAATATATATAGTAATGCTGAAGCCCAAGTTCCTGATACATTAAGGTGCATAACTTAATATATGCAGATTATGCAGGAGCAGCAGTCTGGACTCAGTCACAGAGGTGGGGCAGGCAATTGAGGAAATGTCATTTTTCTTGAGAACAAAGTGTGGGACTTGCTTTGCAACATCTGTTGGTCTGTGTGAAATGTTAACAGATGTCTTAAGTGGAAAAAAGGAGAGAGAGAGTTAATAAAGGAAACCTCCTCTGAACAGATAATCCACCCAAATTTCCATATTCCCAAGGAAGAAGGCCTTTCCCCTTGTGAAGCCCAATTTATGGCGCAAAGTTTCATTTTCTATGTAAAGTTAAGGAGTAAAAATTCTCACTCACTATAAAAGAATAGAAAAAAGTAATAATAATCATAATTTCAATTTTTTTCAAATTTCAAATGTTTGTGTTTACTTTATAATTAGAGTTATCTATGTTGTTTGCTTTTCCTTGACTCATCGAACATCCAACACAAAAACAGTGAGCACACAAGCACACACATACACACACACAAGCACACAACACACACATAAGGAATAATAGCTACGATATGGTGTGTGCATGTTGTAGGGAAGAAGAAGAAGGGAGAGTAAAAAGTAGTTTTTAGGATCAGCCATCTTTTGGTTTTTTGGCTGGTTTTATTTGTTTGTTTGTTTGTTTTTAAGGCAGGGTCTTTCTACATAGGCAGTCTGAAACTCACCATTTAGCCCAGCCTGGCCTCAACTCAAACTCATAGAGATCTGTCTGCCTCTCTGAACCATCTTTTTTAGTATAAAGGTGCTCATCTTCACAGTTAAGAGTCACCTAATATTTACACCTACATCCTTGCCGGCTCCCAATTCCTCTCTCTCCATTACAATCTCTGGAAGAGAAGACAGACACACCGTGTTTCAACAGACAAGCATTCTCAAGAAGGAACATCCGGAAATTGTGGATCCCCATGTTCAAATCTGAAGGAACCTGGAAAAATTTGCTTATTTAACAATTCTTTTTCTTGTTTCAATTTGTTAGATGCTGAACCAAACATGTAGGTAGCAGTCTTTAATTCAGGTTAAAAAGATGATGCATGGGCGGGAGGGACATGGTAGTTCAATCCTTCCATCCCAGCACTTGGGAGGCAGAGGCAGGCAGATCTCTGGGAATTTGAGGCCAGTTTGATCTGGTTCCAGAGCATGCAAGAGCTACATAGTGAGACTGTCTCAAAAATAAAACAAAGAGAAAAGAAAAATAATAAAAAGATGATTTGTGCACTCCATCCACTGAATGTAAGCAAGAGTTGTGTGTAAATGATCTGAACAACATAGGAATCTACTGTATTGCTTTTCCTACTAACATTTTTAAGAGAAGAATTTAGGGTTAGAGTCCATGAACTAGCTAATTCTAATTCACTTAAGAATCTTTATGGAGAGGAGAAGAAAAAAATTATGTTGTCATCTTCGACTGGAGTCTCAGTCCCCAAACCTCTCTCCCCCAAGAGCCTGTGCACCTGCTACGCTGTGTTTATGACTATACCTTTGCCAGAAGGCTTTGACAAGCTGGGTTGGGTCCTTCAACATATAGTAGCTTCAGCCAGAACATTTTGGCCTGAAGATTTCAGGGAACATGATCATGGTCCAATTTGTAAGTAGGATATGCACATATGTCTTCATTTTTAGTTACTCTTCTGCCAAACCATTATGGACACTAAATAGTGAGATGTTAACTCACAGGAACACCAACCACATCAGTGCACAGAACAGAAATAACTGCCGTGTACCGAAAGAAAAATGGTGGCCAGCACTGACGGAGAAAACCTTATGTATTAAAAATACCTTTATGTGACCAGAAAAGGAACACAGGTCCCTTAATATAAGGTTTGAGACACCTTAATTAGTGGCATTAACATCCTCCATAGGAAAATATCACTTAAAAGTGTCACCCAAAAGGAAGACACTGCTCCAGCTGACACTTGTCTAACGGGGACTGAGATACAGCATTGTTGACAGCCTAATCAGGGGCTCTATTTTATAACACACTTCAAGGAAGTACCCAAACACTATAATCCTTTGATACTATGAAAATATGAAAATTGAAAGATTTGAGTAGGGTGTAGCAGATAAGATAGTTTACAAATGCCAAGGAATGGCTGAATCCCTTGGAATCAGGGTTCACGTTTCAAAAAGGCATCTTCGGTTGGTACAAGCCTCATGCCTACAAAAGATCAAACATTTACTACCGTGTTTTGATCTAAAAACTGAAAAATGACTTTAATCTCTTTGTGGGTACAAGCAGTGACAAAAGCTTTCTTTCTACCTCGTGCTACAGTCGATGCTTTGTTTCCTTTTGGAGAAAATCTTCTAAAAGAATCAGTGGTATCTTTCCTTAAATGAATATGAGGAGGAAAAAAGGAAAAAGGAAAAACAAAAACAAAACCAACAGGCTGGGGCAGGGAGGCACACTGGGGAATGACTTTCATATGACCATGTTGCAGGATTGGAAAGACAATATTAATTTTTTTATTTACTTCCTTCTAAAAACTGCAGACTGAGATGCTGGCAGCTCCAGTAAAAATGTCATAATAATAGTTTAAATTACTGTCAGGAAGGAAGATTGAGATTCACTCGCACACAAGAAACCACGTTACAAGGGTGGGCTCAATACTTTACAATTACTTGAAAAATATAGCACTTTAAAGTTAACACATAAAAGAGATACAATGAAAATAATACACTACAAATAATTCTCAAACCTAAAATATAAATTTAAACAGTGAACTATAAGAACAAAATGTCAAAATTCCAAGACTATTTTATACACACACAGACACACATATACACTCACACACACACATATGCTCACAGACACATACATATATACACTCAGAAACAAACATAAGCACAAACACACATGCACTCACAAACAAACAAAGACACACTTAGACACAAGCACATCTTTAAAGGGAAAAACAATGGTGCAAAGAAAATTTAAATGAACCTGTAACTTGGTTTTCTAATTTAAAAATTCATAATGGGCAGAATTAACTGGTAGTGGACGGCATCTGGGTGGTAAGGGTCTCTGGTGAAGGGCATCAGTGGGAAGCGGGCAGATGGGAAGCTTTTAAAAACACAACCATGTGGCCAGGCCATGGTGGTACACTACGTCTTTAATCCTAGCACTCAGGAGGCAGAGGCAGGTGAATCACTGTATAAGTTCGAAGTCAGCCTGGTCTACAAGAGCTAGTTTCAGGACAGCTAGGACTGTTACACAGGGAAAACCTGTCTCGAAAACCAAAAAAAAAAAAAAAAAAAAAAAAAGACAAAAAATCACAACCATCTTATCTACCTATCCAGCTGGTGTCATGGGTATGCTCAACCTGTGAAAACTCACCAGTGTGTACACACACTGGGGAACTTGTATAAACATGTATATACATCTTATACACACACAGATTATACTTCAGTTCTCAAAGATTACCACTACTAACAAGTCTATTACAAAAAACAGAGATGATGATAAGAAATCAGCCCTAGAACTATGTTAAAAAGATAAAAAGAAGGCAGATGGTGGTGGCACTGGGGAGGAAGAAACAGAAGGATCTCTGTGAGTTCAAGGCCAGCCTGGTCTACAGAGACAGTTCTAGAACAGGCTCCAAAAGCTACACAGAGAAACCCTGTCTCATAAAAAAAAAAAAACAACAACAACAAACCAAAAAGGAGGAAAGAAAGGGAATAAAACAGAAGACAGTTTATCTCAGTCAAAATCATTCAAATAACTGCCACAAAAATACTGCTTCTTATAATTTCTTCAAAAGCAAAAGTGTTGGGAAACAAATAAAAATATTAATTTCCTAACATGAAGTCGAGAGACAGTAAATATATGGAAGAAAGATTAACTGTGTGGAGGAACCTCGAAAGGATTATCAGAGCATGTGAGCATATTCAAGTGACTTAAATAGAAAGAGGAACATACCTCAAGTTGAGAGGGATCCACCCCGCAGCATGGGACCTTGAAATGCGCCTGCCAGTCTTGATCAGCAAGCCTGCCCTCTGCTTTGTAACTGAGGCAGTTCGGAGGTGGGGAGGGCATAAAGCGTGCCTGTTTAGAGATTGGAAGAAGAAAGAAATTACATATAGTCTGCAGACAGTATCATACAAAAACGGTCATTTCAAGACACTTTATCTTCAAAACTGTAAATGTAACATTCCTCTGGCCACACAAACACTTTAAAAAGAGTCAATCACTCTGGTCTACAACAACCAATAGTTAAATACATGAACCCTGAGAGAATAAACAATGAGGCGGGATAACAGAATAATTCACCGATGGGTAACAAGACGGGGATTGAGCACAGGGCTTCTTGTGCTCAGCATAAACTCCATTAAACTATTCCACCAGTCCACTTAGTCTCTTTTCTTGAAAGGGGGGCTGAAGAGTTGAGAGGATGTCTGAAACTGGGGCTACCAAACACAGTTTCTACCACTAAGCTGCACCCCAACCAGTAGCTCAACTTACTCCATTTTCTTCCCTTAATCATAAAAAGAAAATCATTGTAAACCTTTTTACTCATTGTTGAAGGACTGTTTACCAAGTTTCACACAAGAAGCTGTAAGAAACACCAAATAACACCAAAATAAGACATAATCCCTGCTCACAAGAAGTTTATGGTCTAGTATAGAATAGAAGCTTTGCACAAAATTGCCTTACATAGCTAGAGAATGTGGTAAAGAGAACAGTAGAACCGTGTGATTAAGGGAAGGATGTCTTCCCACTGATATAGGGAAAGAAAGTGTCCAAGCAAAGGCAGCCTTTGTTCTGGGCACAGAGAGACTCGCAACATCCCTCTAGAGAAGTGATCCAGTTTGCCTAGAGCTTAGGTAGGATGCTGGACAAAGCAGTAATAAGCTAAAGGATGTGTAAACAGCAGAACTATTGGTAAACATCCCACAGTCCACACTGAGTTGCTATTCTGTTTCTATCACCACCAGTCAAGTCTACTAGAAGACTTCAACAGCAGCACCATGTGATTGTCAGCATTCTGTAAGACAGTGCAGCGAGGACAACTCCTTAAATGTAAACAGAACAAAGATAAGAGATCAATTAGGGAACTAGTATAATAAGCTAGGTAAAATAACTACTAGCAGATAAAGCTGATGAAGAAATGCAAGACACAAAAGAGATCATAAGGATGAAATTAAGGAGGCAAGAATGACTGATAGGATACCGATAACAAGGAGGCTGGACAGATGGTTCTGTGATTAATGAGAACACACTGTTCTTGTAGAGGACCCATTAGTTCCTATGTTGGATGGCTCACAACTGCCTGTAACTCCACTTCCAAGGGATCTGATGTCTTCTGCTAGCCTCCATAGGCAACTGCACTCATGTGCTCACCATCCCCAGAAGCAGACAAGTACACATAATTAAAAATAAAAATAAATCTTTTGAAAAGGATATGGGTCACAGAAGCCAGTGTTGACACTAGAGATCTGATTGGTAGCACCCCCTATAGAAATGTATGAAATAATTTAGGGCAAGACAATCAAGCTCAGTTTGAGGTAACAGATAATCACGGGATATAAGTAGGCAGTAGAAAGTTCAGAAAAAAGACCAATACTGGAGTACAGGATTTGGATGTATCTATGTAAACATGGCATTAAAGGGAATTGAACATGGACACAATGTTCTTTGTGGTTATGAATGAGAAGATAAATTGGCAAAGGATGGTTGGAGTTTTAGATAATACTGTATTTCTGTATTTAGAGAATAATAATAGAAATTTAGTAGTAAATAGAACTATAGGAGTAATCTATTGATCAAGATACTTGACTTGGTAGTATGTGATATAAATGGCTAAATACTTCAGATGCATTTGCTATTAATTTGTTACTTTGAGTAAATGTATGTTCAATATACAATTTCATATATATTTATATATATAGTAATTAAATATTTTGTTGTGTTTACTTTTTTGTTTTTTAAGATATTTTATATTTATAAATTTCTGGGTCATATGAGTTGTTTCAGTATAGTAATATGTATATATGATACATTTTATAAAAAAGTTCAGAAATACATAATTTGTAAAGACAAAGAGGTAGAGATGGTAAAATATTCTTTGAAGGCATTTTAAAAGAAAGCAAAGTGAGAGAAATGTGGCCTGAAAAGCTAGCAGGGTTTAGAGAAGTGTATTTGGGAACAAACAATTTGTTTTCCACCATAGCAGGTTAAAAAAATGTCTACAGCAAGCAAAGGGGACAAAGTCAGCAGAGAAAAGGATATTGAAGATCTAAGCCAGAGGGAAAATGATATAAAGGGTCCTAGGAGAGAATGTAATAAGAACACAAATGAAAAGGTTCCCTGAAGGGAGAAAAAAAATTCCCTCGGAAACCAAAGGAATGATACAGGAAATTTTTCATGGTTAAGAAATGTAGGTAACAGTCAGGCGGTAGAGGCACATGCCTTTAATCCCAGCCACTTGGGAGGCACAGATACTTGGATTTCTGTGAGTTCAAAGGCAGCCTGCTCTACAGAGCGAGTGAGTTCCAGGACAGCCTAGACAACACTGGGAAACCTTGTCTGTAAACACCAAAAACCCGAAACAAAAGAAATGCAGGGATTGGGGTGTGTCTGTGTGCATAAATATATCAATATAACCTGCTAAGTCTATGCAATGCTACTTGCAATTACACGATGTCAGGACTGACCACTTGGTATTGGATGACCAATTAGGGGGCCTCTTCCTGGGGGAAAACAACTTCTCTCAGCATCCCTGAGGTGCCTGTAGCTTTTTGTCTGGGGGTGGGACCCTGTGAGATTTCCCTCTTCCACTTTTTCACTATGTCCCTGTTCAGGCCTTGCCATATTGTAACAATTAAGGAAGATGAGGCCAGGAATTTGAGAAGGAGCGAGGGTCGGAGCCATGGAAGTTGTTGGAGGAAGAAAAGGGAATGGAGAGAAATAATGTAATTATGTTCTATTGAAAACAATAATAAATATTTTGATATTTTTTTTTTAAAAAAAAGAAATGCAAATATTAAGAGCTCTGTTAAGAGCACTAAACAGAGGACAACCAGCGACGAGAAGAACGGGCTTCTTGTACAGGGTAGAAGGAAAGATCAGAACCAACAAGGAGTGAGCAGAAGAAATGCGATTGGCGGAAAGCTGTCAGGAGTCTCTTCCCACTCAGCTGATTCAAACGATGCGCAGGGCTAGAGCCATGGCTCTGTGGCTAAGAACATGTATTGTTCTTGGATGATACACAGTTCAGATCTCAGTACCACATGAGATGGCTCACGACTGTTTGAGCTGATGCTTTTTCTTGGTCTCTGTAGACACCTGTATGCATACACACACACACAAAATTTTTTAAAAATTTATCTTTTAAATTTTAAAGTTAAGCCTTTAAAAAAAAGACAGTGTAGTTAGGAGTTGTGAAATTTGACTTTGAAAACTAGAATACTAAAAACCAGCAAGAAGTTCTTACTGGAGAGAGCAATGCCTTGCTCCAAAACACACAGGCTAGTAGGAAATGGAACTTTAGAAACCATAATGATTACATACATTCCCATAGTGATGAGTTCATATAAGAAAATAAAATACCAAGAACAGATTTTTAGATCAAATTATTTGATTTTTATTTAGTCATATCCCAATTCTAAGTATTTACAGAGCATTTTTTAAAAATGGCTATAATCTACTCCTGGTTTGAGAAACTCCCCAAAGCAAATAAAATACTGAAATACTTTAAACTATATCACATAAGCTACTTGAGTGAAATAGGAGGGGCGATGTCTAGGAATATTGCTTCTTTAGAAAGCACGAGAGAAAGCTGAGAGGTTCTCTCCTCATGCTAATTTCTACCTCCAGGCCTATGTAACCCAAAGTCACATCAACTCTCCACCCAGTTAGTGCCGGTTGCATTAGCAGAACTTGTAGTTCAGAATCCCTCTAGAGACCAGGGGAATGATGAGTTCTATCACCCGGCCAGTATCTACAGTCACCAATGAATCACCTCAAGGACATGTACAAAGACATTTTTCTGCTGCTTTGGCGGTCACTATAACCAGCCTTTCTAACAGAGTCCTTTCTGTAAGGACCACTGTCTGAGTGACCCGCTACACAGCTTATAAAGTAGCATTAATACTGTGGGCCAAAAAGAGATTGATCTTTGAGCTTCGTGGTCTCCTGTTGTCAACAGTGCATTATAAAACCAATACTAAATACTTTATAAACAGGTCTCCCTACAGTGTATTAGAGAAACAGTACATCTCTCATGCCCCATAGTTAGGTAGCCACATATCCATCAGGCTAATACATTATGTAGGAGATACTCAGAAGAGCAATGAGAGTCAATAAACTAACTTCTGGATACTTATACGCAACTATTCCACTGGAAATTGTACCTGGAAGAGAAAACTTTCTCACAAACAGTGGTGGACGACAGAGCCTCTCAAGCATCCTGTTAGAAGGAAGCACAGGCTTCTGGAGTGAGAAAGAAGACATTCTCATGGCCTGAAGAGAGTTTGGTCATTGACCTTTATGTACTATCCAACTCCACCCTCATTTCTTTTATTTTGTATATACATGCCTGATTCTCCCATCCTCATGGCGGGTCAGGGATAAAGACTGGCAGAAACATGTCTATCGTCCCTTAACTCAGGGCACACGACAACTTCCACTACTGCTTTCTACTTGTTATCGCAGTGACTTGAGTGTCTGCACAGGGCCTGCACTACACATGCAGCATGGAACTCAGAAGCCATTGACCAAACATTTAAAGGAGCTTTTATTTCTTCATTTCTTTTTTTTTGTCCTGTATTTTTGGTTAAATCTCCTAAGCCCTTAGACGCCTAGGATGCCGTCCCTGATGCCCAGACACCTCATGCCGAATTCCGCCATCCTGAGAGAGCACCTTCTGCTCGGGAATGTATTCCAGCCCTTTAAGGAAGGATTTCCTTAGCTGGGAGTTATTTCTCAAACTATAAGAGGCGTGGACCTTTGTGTAGTACTGCGGTGCCATGGTTTCACATGCTGGCCACATTAATACTGGAGAGCAAGCATCTGTAACCCACAGCTGTGTGCACTCCAGCCCCCAA